TTCTTCACTGCTCATGTAATAGTAGAAGGTTTTCATGTGACACTGAAGTCTGATGCTGCTTTCAGTTTTGGTTGTGTTTTGACTTCCCTGGCAGGGGCGCTGCATGCCTGGGCAATATTTGTGTATTTGTCCCTTAGTAATCATGCTTCTTCCTCCTTAGTCCAAGCTGCTGATTGATCTGATTGATTGTTTCCCTGAGTGCTGGGATGTACTTCTCTTGTAACCACAAGAGAAGCAGTTGTCCTTAAAGACCTCCCAGCTTTTTTGAGCTCTTCTGCTTTTCAGAAGTGGATCCCACAGAATTCCAGTTACTGAACGAGTTGGCCTGCCCTTCTGAAGTGCAGGGTTGGTGCTGGATTTACCTTCCTCTCTCCTCTCAGGATTTTAAACTTCACTATTTTGTGGTCACTACAGTCAAGATTTCTGTTGATCCCATCCCCAGCAAGTTCTTCCTTTTTTTCCTTGAAAGCAATTTCAAGAAAGTATCGAATGGGGATTGACTCATTTAGCACTCTTTTTTTCCTCCGAAATGAAGTCTCCTGGATTGTTTGTATCCTACTGTGTTGCCCTTCGAGTAGATGTCAGGGAGATTAGTGTCCCACGATAACCAGTCTCTGTGGTTTTTAGAGACTTCATGGAATTGCTGAAATACACTTCATCAGCTTTTTTACCCCAGTCAGGTGATTTGTAACGAAGAGTGTGATGTTGTCGATATGGTTCTCTCCTTTAATCCTGACCCACAAGCTCTTAGCCAGCCTGTTGTCCATCCTGTAGAACAACTTTTTGTGTTCCAGCTGCTCTTACGGGTAGAGGGCAGTTCACTTGCTGTGCTTTCCTTCCTGGCTTTGTAGAAAAGCTTGTACACCTCTGTGACAAAGCTCCAGTCATGCAAGGTATCCCACGTCTTATTTACTCTGGTGTCGTAGTTCTGTGTACAGGTGCTTTAGGTGGTTCTTCTTTCAACATGCTTTATCCTCATCACCCAGGTCTTTCTTCCTCCCAGCAACGTGACTCATGTACTTAACATGTCTCAATCTCTATTCCCTCCCTTAACTGCAAGCTTCAATTACTGTTCCTTGGTGGATCTCTCATTTACCGGGCTTGTCACCAAATTCAATGAGGTTGTTCTTAACCTCCGTCGTCAAGTGGATCCCATCTCAACTTGGCAGCCCTCGTTTCTCAGGGGCACTCGTGGCCATAAAAATTAAACCCCTGCTTGCAGTGCCAATCCTGCAGCAAGTCCTTAACTTGAAGGATGTGGCTCTACAAGCCTTTTACTTCTCACATGAAAAGAGCAAGAAGAGCAAACGTCACTTGTGGTCCCATGTCCTTCTTTGCCCCTGGAGTTTTCTAGTCTCTCTTGATTTGCTCCTTTGTTAATAGCATGATGGGTGCCTGTGTGAGCAGGTAATAGTTAGGGGGAAAAAGAACAAAAAGGAAAAGGGGGAGGGGAAGGCAATAGTGGTGATGATAATAAGGTTGGAGGACCCTTGACAATATCTGACATGTCGAATCTGGCCAAACCTCCTTCACCAGCGTATCTGGCGGCAGATGTGTGTGTCTTCCCTGCAGAAGGGAATCTCCAGCTAGTATTACCTGCCACTCCCTTGTCTTGCTAATGCTCAGTTCAAACTCAGCTAGCTTTGGCACATCCCTTAATTGAGATTCTTGCTGCTTCTACATGCCAGTGTTGACCAAAAGAAAAAGTGTAAAAAAGCTTTATATGCTTGAGTCCTTACTGTAAGAAAGAGACTGTGGAGCACTAGTATAGTAAAAATGAGGTGTTGGGAGATGTGCAGAAAGAAAGGAATTTAGATTTATGAAAAATCTCTGAGAATTAGAAGGCTCAGACTAATGTTTGAGTACCTCTCATAACAGCTAATGTTTGCTGCAAGCTTCACGTGCAGGAATGGTTTTTGAGTGCTATCCCGAGGTTTGTGTGCTTTAGCTTTCACTGACATGTTTGCATGCAGTGAATGTGTATGAAAATACTACTTGGACTTCAAAAGATTCAAAAATTCAAACATTTTTAAAATGTTTTGTGAAAATTTTGTATGTTGTATAGATGTTGGGCAAGGCACTTCAGGCTGTTGGGTTCTGCTTTTATTTGTCACATGGTTACTATGTTGATTTGTATGTTTTGGATCAGAGAAATGAGTGCCATAGCAGAAACTGAAGCTGAAATGTTTGCTATTTCTGGCTTTTAAAGCACTTTAAGCAAGCTGCCGTGTGATAGGCAGTCTAGTTTCCTAGGAGTGTGTCTCTGAAATTTAGTACTTCCAGCGTTTAACGTAATTTTTCTTCCCCGTTCTCAGCGTCCCTTTCTCAGTGTTGTGCCACCTGAACAAGAAACAGTTTGTGTAGCATCCGCTTTGAAATTATACTCACATGGAGTTGTCTGGCAATGAATAGGCAAGAGATAGTTGAAGAATTTAATGCTTCTTAGCTATGTCAGAACCAATGAATAACTGTAGGGACTTCTGGTTGCACAGGACTGTTATTTCTGCTTTTGTATTTGTTTGAAATTGTCAAAGAGATGAACAAGGGATGGTGGAAGAGGGAGAGAAATAAAACATTGATTGTAGGAGTCCAATTTGTTTAGAAAAGTAGTCAAAAAAATCAACATATGAATACTCATCTGTCTGGTTTGTTTTGGCTGTGTTGTGTTTCAGGAGGTTAGCAACTGAAAATCAGAGGTTTTATACTTTCAGGTAGTAGGGATGTGTCATAGCATCTCCAGGGTATGAATTCTGTTATTCCCAATCCACTGTGAAGAGGCAAATGTCATTGTGTTGCTCTTACCTGAATAACTGAACAGTTTGTGAAATCCTCAGCAGGTTCCCTTGTGGGGAGCGGGAAGGAGATGTGTGTGCTGTGATCTTTTGTTATGGAACTTCAGATGGGAAAGTGGAGGTGCTGTCACAGAGCAGGAGCTCTGATTTACTTCAGAAAGCTTTTAATTTCCTGGGTTACAGATTTGAGGCTTTTAAGGAAGTAACATCATAATGTATTTCATCATCTGTCCCTAAACTGTACTTGATATCCCATCTCATTTCTTCAATATAGTAAAATTGAAAAAGCAGAAATGCAATTTGGAGATGAACTTGAGAATATTGTATTACAGTTCCCTAATGAGGCCGTGGAGGAAAAGGGAACAGAAGAATATGGAAGTTGCTGAAAAACAGATGATGAATTGGCATTATTTGCTACTGTGCTTTATGGAAACGTGAATCTACCCATTTATAGAGATGATGGCTAGTAGTATTGTCTTTGTTTATGCAAAGCTGATCAAACTTAAGGATTACACTGTAATGTATTCACTGTAAAATGACCTTTTTAAGAGGTTTAGAGTGGCTAGTTTTACACTTGGAAGTCTGAAAAGATCCTTTAAGTGGGGATAACATTCGTGGCATGTATTCACAGACATCATTATCATTTAGGAAACAGTATTAATTCAGCTAGTAGCAGAGAATTAGTTGCTCAGATCTATTTACTGTGGTCAAAAGAGGAGTGCTACAAACCTTGTTAGAGCTATCTTTGAAAAGATGTACATCCCGATGTACAATGTGCAATGGTAAGAGACATTGCACCTAAATCTCTTTCCTACCTGAAGTTGGTGGGGGTTTTTTGTGTTTTGTTTTGTGGGGGGTTTGTGTGTGTGTGTGATATTACCCTGTCTGAAGGTAATGTCATGCAAAGTAATACCATGAATGATAGGAAACAAAATAATCCTATCTAATTTGTAACTCTATGTTTGTAATTAACAATTGTGAAGGTCTTTTTTTGCAGGCTGTTGTCTGGAATTCAGTATATCAGGTGATTTCTCTTTCTAAGGGATTTTTTTTTTAATAGCTGTTAAAGATCCTATTGTTTTGGTTTCAGGAAGAGAATCCAAGGACTTGACAGAGAGCAGAATTTATCTACTGCAGAAATGCACTACAGCTTCTCTACTATATGGAGAAGTGCAAGTGAGAGCACAAATGCACTGTTTATAATGATTTTAAACTTTTTTTCATCTGAAGCTGTTATTTTACAGATTCACCAAGGCAGTCCATCTTCTTTACACTCTCCACTCTCCTTGTGGCCTTGAATCTCTTGTGGCTGTGGTCACATCTCCATGACTGTCTGGCAATGTGCACACATAACATGACTGAAAATCTGAGCTTGGTTCCCAGCAAAGGGGACAAAACAGTGGATATTCCAGTGCCAAACCTGTTTCCATACCGAGCTAAAGGCACACTTTCCACTTCCTGACTGTGATGTGCAAGTCCTACACTTGATAGAAGGGAAGCCCGAGTTTGTTGTGAAAGAGGGGAATGTTGCTTCAGGCCTTTTGAGTAGCTCTGTGTCACTATATGGATTCTTTTTCAAGGCAGAATTGAGGGAAATTTGTTGTTTGGAAACATGTTTTGCCTAGAGGCACGCAGATAAGGATTACACAGCCCTTTTAGAGGAGTAAGACAAGCAGAAAGGACAAACAAATGTAAAAAACTCATTGAGATTTTTGGAAAGGATTCATTTGTCTGCTCTCTGTAGGTAAAGGAGCCCTTATAACTCAGGATGGAGTAAATTCACTTGATCTAAGCCAGGACTTCACAAAAATTCTGTCTATCCTGGCAGACTTCATGGCTGTTCCAAACTTTCATTTTGCACTGAGGGAGTAGTGGTAAGGTGATTATCTAAAAACTTGAAAACCTGCTGCTGAAAATGTTCAGTTTAGCTTTGTATGGGACTTGATTTGTACAAAAAATAAGTGTGGCTTGAAAGATGTAGCTGCCTGTTGGATGTGATTCCAAATAGGCAGCGCATGACTCTGCATTGTGTTTGGTAACAGGATCTGCACGGGTTCTCTCCAACAGTGACAAGTCTGACTAATGGCAGGATTTCTGTACAGGAACAGTATATGATGGATTTGAATATATACTCATATATAACAGAACATTTATGGTGAAAGCTGCGTGTGACTTGTTTTTAAAACATAAAAAAATATATTTTTGTAGGTCTAACAAGAAGCTTAACTATAACTTCAGTTGACCAATCAATGTTTGAAAAAGCACAAGGAGAGAGAGTAACGTTGCCATGTACTTTTGAACTCTCGGAGGAAGATGAAGGCCCACTAGATATTGAGTGGGTATTGATACCAGCAGATAATCAAAAGAAGGAAAAAATAGTAAGTAGAGACTTTCTTTTGGACAGTGTTATTTCAGTTGTTTGAGTAGGTCAATGTGCAAGTTTTGTTACTGACTTTTTAAGCTTCTACCTTTTCAGATTGGGATGCTTGTGATCTTAAATTACTTTGAAGCACCAGTCAAATGAAATATAGTGGAAATTTTGTAATAGCAGATTAAGTATGAAATGTCTAGAAATTTTTCACTATAAGCTTGCCTTCTAATGAAGAACTCTCAAATTAAGTACACCTCAGTTCCAGAAAGCAAACTCTGCTTTTGTACCTGCATTATCTCCCTGATTAATAACGGGTTTATGAGGATTTAATTTTAAATATATTAACTCTTTTAGTTATTAATGTTTTCCTTTAATTGGAAGCCTTAACAATAATATGATAGATTTCTTTTAGTAGATAGGTTTTACAGAATGAAATTAGAGCAGTTCTAAACAGGATTTCGTTTTTTTTTCAGTTAAAAGTCAATACTGACATATTGATACTTGGGTAGATGTGTGGTGATATTTTGAAGATGGAGGTATTTGGATATGTCATACTTCTGAGATTAAAACTATGGAAAGAACCTGTCAAGAAAATGAAGAGACCAAATTATTTTAAATGTTTGCATGCCAAGTGGATTTCTGAACCATATTTTTTTTTTTAATAGATAATTATGTATGCTGTCGACAGGATTTATGATAATTATTATGGTGCTCAGACTGGGAGGATGGCATTTACTCAGAATGATCCCAAAAATGGTGATGCTTCATTGGATATCCAGAATTTAAAGGCAGAAGACACTGGCACATACCAGTGCAAAGTGAAGAAAGCTCCTGGAGTTCAAAGCAGAAAAATACAGTTGACTGTACTTGGTAAGATAATTTATTTTCTTGAGTTTTCTGTGACATTTTGTATGTGCTTATTCTGTTCTATCTTCGATGTCTAAAATGAAAACTTCTGCTGAGTAAAGTCATATTGAATCTGTGATGATGATGCACTTGTTATTGAGGCCTTGGGAAGGGTGGACATAATTCTGTTCTGGGAGAAGAAGGGAATAATATTCAGAATAATGAGCACTTTTAAAAATTCTGTGCTTCGTTCATATTTCATAGAAAATCTTTCCATGCATAAAAATGGTTTGTGTCACAAGCTTTATCTTTAGCACACAGGTACCAAGCATTTTGATTGTGACTGTTACTAATTCAATGATATTTTGTTGATTAGTAAAGCCAGCAAGAACTAAATGTTCCATTGAAGGATCACAGGAGATTGGAAAAGACGTTACCTTGAAATGTGCATCACAAGAAGGATCCCCACTTTTGTCTTACGACTGGAGGAGAGTATCTGGCACAAATGAACTTCCTGCCACTTCCGTGCTGAGTACTGTCAAACTTGATTTATTACTCTGAAATATTTAAGAAGAGTGTATTAGTATTTTTGGCTTAGTTTGACTTGTGAACATCTCATAATTAGTATTAATATAGTGTAGTCAAGATAAATGTCACTTCTGCCCTCTCACTGGGTAACAAAACTGACTGTGAAACAAGTTGGGAGTTTATTTTGTTTTTTTAATTCATACTGGGAAACGTTTCAAGCTTTAAGTGGAGATTCTTACCATTAGGCTGCTGTATCATACTCACCTGTACCCGTGTTGTAAGGATGGAGTTAAGATACTCTGAATTTTGACTGATGGATTCCAAATTATTACAGTGCTGATATCAGATTTTTATTGTGACATCTTCATTGTAGAAGTTAACTTGTGAGTTTTCTGAAAGTTATTCTAGAATATTTTTTTGACAGAGTACTGCTTAGTACCATTTCTTTTTGATCTCCTTTGTAGTTATGAAAACCTCGAACTTTGAGATGGTAGGATTTTCTTGCAGATGTAGAAGTTTTTTTAAGAAGTTTTAAGAATCTGCTTGCAAATAGACATATTTTAACTTAGGTGGCACAGGATGTAAAGGACAAAGTGACATCCTGTATCGAAGAGTAGACAAAGTGGATTTCTAGAGGAGAGAGAACAAAAAGTTATTTGGTTCTTCCTCGTGGGGGTCTCCTATGCTCCTGTAGTTTATGCCTCAGGGAATTGAGATGTGGCTTCAGTTTTATTTAAAACAAGCAAAAACTGACTTCTGTGAACTTCTCCAGTTTTTTGTAAGCTTCTATAGTCTGTTAGAATCTGTAATATCTTAGAACACAGATCCCCAGAAATCAGCTACAAAGGAAGAACCTGTAACTGTTCTTCATTTTGAACTGGTGTCCTGCTAGTGCTATTTGATATCTCTTATTTTTTGTTTTGATAGTGAATGGTTGATCCCAAATTTGTCTCATGGTAACAAAAAAATGAATGACAATATCAGTGCTAGACAAGAATGAATGAGGAACTGTGCAAAGGTGGTGGCATGTAACTCAATAAAATAATGTTAGTTTTGGGCTTGTGAATGTAGGTGTGGGGACACTGAGCATGTCCTCAAGAATCTAGACAACTGGTTCAGCAGGTAGAGCAAAGTATTTGCCTGGTGCTTTGTTCTTGTGATGGAGTCTTTTACAGTGCTCATGGCAGATCTGTTGGCACTTTAAAGCATGAAAGCCAGTTGAAGTTCACCTGGTAGGATCTCACAAGGGTAGCTGTCAATGGCTTTGACAGTCTGGGGAAAACCTCTTTATTTTCACTGTTTCTTAAGGAATCTGCTTAAGCTGGACTTAGTTGGTCACCCATTGGAGCACACGTTTGGGTTAGATCCACCTCACGCTGCGCATGAGCTCTAAAGACACCTGAGCTGGTTGTGTAGAATCGATTTAGAAGAGGGAGGGTGGTGGCTTTGGGGTGCAGTTCATCTTTTGTATTATAGAATTCTGTGTTGAGAGAATTGGCCATAGCATCTGAAGGTAACACGAATCTACACTTAAAATCTCAGCGAGTGAAAATGCGACAGGAGACCTTGCAAGCTCTTTAAAACATGAATTTTTCTGTCATAGCTAGTTCTAGTCATGTCAGGTAACGTAATGCAAGGCTGTAGAACACTGAGAGTAGCATCTCTTCCTATCCATTGACAGAGCAATTAGTCAGTAGGCTTAATATTAAGTCAAATCCCGTGGAATAAATTTCTAACAGACTTTTACAAATAATAGTGGTTTACAGCATGATAGGCTTTTGTTTCTATCTGTATCTCTTTAATATGGCATTTTTAAGTTAAGATTTCATGTATGTGCTGGATTAATAATTCTGTAGTACTGTGTATGGAATTAAACTTTGCAAAATGATAAACCTCTACCTTTTGTTGTTTGTAGATAAAGATACAGGGGAGCTTCTTCTGAAAAACGCCTCTCAAGAATATTCTGGTTTATACAACTGTGTGGCCTCAAACAGAGTTGGCACGGATGAATGTTCTGTTCAGCTGAATGTCACCCCTCGTAAGTGTTTGCTGTGTAATGGTCACATAGTGTTCTGTGTATGAAAACTGAATAGTCTTTTTTTCTCTAAACTCAAATCCAACACTCTGTAACTGGTGGGTGCCAGTTCAAGTCTTATTATTGTTTTAAATGAGTGTGATTGAGCATTTCTCTGATTCAGTGGTGTGCTATTAACGTGGATCATGTGAAACATACTGGGTTTAATGTTAAAAGAAAGTTGGTCTTATAACTTTGACACTTAACAAACAGTATTGTTATTTATCTATTCTAGCCGTAAATACAGCTGGTATAATTGCTGGAGCTATTATAGGAACTCTGCTGGGTCTTTCTGTACTGACTTTTCTCGTCTTCTGTTGCTGTAAGAAGCACAGAGAGAAGAAATATGAGAAAGAAGTACATCACGATATCAGGTAACAACATGTCTCTGGTTTCTGAGCAGTATTATTGGAAGATTAACTTTTAAATGTGTATTTCTGCAAGTAAGATACTTAACAGTTGAGATTTGTCTTAATCTGGAAAGCTTATTAACATGCTAACTGTTTGTCAGAGGACTTTTTGTAGTCATGTCTAATTTCAGTAAACATTTTAAAGGCAATGAATACTTGAATTTTTTGTTACTTTAAAGGAAGACGTAAAGATTTTTTGGCTGCTGCATCAGAATAGAAAGAAACAAACTGAATACGTGTTTTGTAAGCTCCCACATAGTAATGGTGACTGAACTCTTGTTCTGCAACTCTTTTTTTGTGTGTTTCAGAGAAGATGTTCCACCTCCAAAAAGCCGCAGTTCAACAGCTCGCAGCTACATCGGCAGCAATCGCTCTTCTCTGGGTTCAATGTCTCCCTCAAATATGGAAGGATATACCAAAACTCCATATAGCCAAGTCCCAAGTGAAGACTTTGAACGTGCTCCTGGTCAAAACCCAACCTTTGCACCTTCAAAGGTAGCTGCACCTAATTTAAGTAGAATGGGAGCTGTTCCTGTGATGATTCCAGCACAAAGCAAAGATGGGTCGATAGTATAAAATATTATTAATTTAAAAGCTGTTTTTTAAAGTGTTCATTGTAAGTATTAGAGAAAACTACTGTGTTCCATCCCTCATTTAAACACTGGCATGAAATTGTGCTTGAAGCAAATGAACAAGTTAGTTTGAAAAGCCACCAATTCTCAGATTTAATTTTAAACTTTTTAGTATATGACAGTTGAACTATTTGCAAAAAGCATTGAAGTTCCTAAGTAAATATTGGACACTGAAGGTATTTGGACCTGTGGTAGGTTACTGAAGAGACACTGACACTGTCAGCTAATGTGCAGTCCTGAATGTGTAACAGTGAGACAAAGGAGAATTAACAAAGCATTTCATATTTAGACCATGGAGTTTCTCAGAGTTCCTGTAGCTTTATCCTCAATTATGGAATAACAGAAATATTTGAACTTGATATTGAACTCTGATGTAGTTGCATGGGGCTGAAATACTGAGGATGACTTTGAATTCTGTTCATATTTATGTGGTTCTTTGATCTGGTAATGTTTGTTTGGAGCACTTGAGCTCTTATTTCAGGGGCAGCCAGTTATTTAATTGGTTCAATTAGTTTAATTAATCTACTCTGAATTTAAAATGTCAGTGAGTGGAAGTGTGACAGGAGACCTTGCAAGCTCTTTGAAACATGAATTTTTCTGTAATAACTAGTTCTAGTCAGGTTGACTTAATACTTACATTATCTGATGCAAGAGGTCCTGTCAGGTTGTTGGTGATGGTACCTAAGCTTTAAGATCTATAAATCAGCTGTTACTGTCACTGTAAGAATGAATTATGGATCTTTATGCAGGTCTTTAAGGTAATTGTACCTTGCATTTTCCAGCGCCTGTTAGGATACTAAGGCAGTGCTCTTATTTTTTTTCCAAACCAATTACCTAGAAGCTCCATGGGGATTTAATGAGAGCTATTAAGCTGTTAAGTAACTGGTATTGGATATCTGTCCTCTAACATCACTGTGGAAACAACTTTTCCCATATACATGTAAGCAGTAGTCAGCCTTTACTCAGGATGCTAATGTCTTCCTGTGTGAATTTGCAAGGAGTTTAAAGCTCATTTCTCCTTGCCTCTTCAACAGCCCTAAATATTCTGAACCAATGTTCAGACTTTTTAAGAGCAAGAGTTCTGTGCAGCTGAGAGCAAATAGTTTTCCAGAATTGTTCATGCAGATCTCATGTTTCAAAATTAAAAACGCTTCTTCCCAATTTTGCAAAATTAAAGCAATACAGGAGAAACAGAACAATTCTTTCTCTTACTTTCACATGTATTTAGGACTTCTGATAGCTTCTGGTAACTGATATTACATACCTGTGAAAGCTGGATTTAAAACTTAGTGCAGCTTGATTCTTTGTGGATTTTATCTTCCTTCCTGTTTTCTACCTTCTTCATCCTGTGTGGAGGGCAGGTGGGGGAGAGTCCCTTCAGCTTATTCTAGCTATAGTTGTTGAACTGCAAGGTATTTTGGAAAACTCTAAAAGCATATAGTATGTGGCACTGATGTTGATGAAGGAAATATCTGAATAGCCTGTTGAAAGATGTTAGGATTGTTTGTGTGTAGCAACAGTGTGAGAGAAAACATTTTCCCAAACTTCTAGGTTTAGTGTCTGCTTTTTTGTAGCTGCTTATAGTTCTGTGATGAATTCTTTGGCTTACTACTAAATGTTTGTCCTATCTGTAATTAGATGCACAATCCTTGGCTGGCACTATTAATGTAAAGAAATTTCCCTGCCCGTGGCAGGGTGGTTGGTACAAGGTCATCTTCCAACCCAAACCATTTTATAATGCTAACATACCCTTCATACCGAATTTAGAAACTTGAATGGCTATTAAGTATTCTAGACCTAGTTTTACACATTTGGGACTTTTTTAGATTGTAAGCTGATACTGTTAGAGATCAGATTTTTTTATCTTTCATGTGTGCCTTGTCAATAAACTTTGCCTGATTGTAACTTCAGTTTTTATGAAATTTCTGGTGCCTAAACATACTGTTTGAACAGGTGCTTAGATGATGGTACAGTTCTTAAAACATGACACTGTGATCTGATTTCTTGATTCTTATGTACTATTTATACCTCTTCATGCCTATTTTTGGATGTGACTTCAGTGTCTCTCTCTGTATTCTTCTGTATTTCAAAATGTCACTCCTTCAATTATGATTTAAGTGTTTATATTCCTGGAAACTGTTCAGTTGTTGTACCAATGAGATGGATGATTGATTTTTATATGTGTGGTAAATAATAGGTTTAGTAAGTGTGCCAAACATAGCTTCTGAAGAACAATAGATGGGGAGACATCTTCTTGCATCCAATTATTGTGACAGAAGAGACTTCCAAGATGTTAATCGTACACTGATTGTTTACCTCGAAACTAAGGCCTTCCTTAATTAAAAGGGTATAGTTATTATAAATACAAGTTGAGTACAAAACTAAGCTGAATCACAGACTGAGAGATAGCTATAAACCTAAGCAACCAGGCAGCAAACCTACTAAATTTGGTTCTTAGCCATCTGTGGTCATATGTGTTTTTTTTGGTGGGTTTTGTTTGTTTTTTTTGGTTTGGTTTTGTTTTGTTTTGTTCTTTTGGTTTGGCCTGAGACCCTGCACTTACAGTCAGTTAAGCCCTAGGACACTCAGAACCAGAAACCTATCTCAGTAAAGCAAGCAGAGCAGAGTTTACACATGCTTGATGCTCTGTCAGCTTGTGCAAAATAATAAATGGACAGAAGGACAGCGTGATGTGCCCTCAGAGCCTGGCTGTTAGGCTTAGCAGCCTTGACAGTGTCTGTCTATTTATGTAATTGCATGGAAAAAGAGGAGAAATAGAATCTGACATAGTCCTTATCTGAAATAAAGAACCCCTGACTTGGGGTAAACTTGGCCTCAAGTTGCTATCATCATGCCTTTTTGGATGGATAGAACACTACTATGAGAACATAATACTGGTATTATAAATTATAAATTATTTCTTTTGTCACTAGATTGTTCACTTACACTGGATTATGATTCTCAAAGGCAGCTACTGTAGTCTAACAATGATTTCTAGCTGTGTAGGAGATGAACTGGTTAAACACGTGAGGTGTCCAATCTTACAGATAGCTCTGCTAACAGAACACTTTTAGGAAGTAATGGCAGCTGATATATACCAGTTAGGAGGTGGCATTTTTAATGTCTCATTTGATTAAAAAAGAAAAAAGGGGGAGGGGGTAGGGAGGGCGGTACCATTTTGTAAATACTCTTAAGTGAGCTCAAGAAACCTCTAGTTAATGTCATGACTGTAAACTTGCCTGTTGAGGACTACTATATATAGGAAGAAACCCCTCAATTTTAGCATGGTGTGAATAAAGTGTTAGACTTGTAATACTGTAGAGGTTCCGTAACACTTGTCCATACAGTTCAAGCATCTTCATAAACTTCCTGCAGTGGGTATTTAAAGATAATTGTGTGAAACTTCCTTCCCTGAAAAATGAATACTTCTTCCAAAACTGTATAGTGCACAGAAATGCCTTGTTGGAGGGGTAAAACATGACTTTTGAGAGAAATGTGCATTGCATACGTCTTTATCAACTCTGGATAGTTGCATTCATATTAGATGTATGCTTCCTGCTTAATAGTGCAAGTAAGACTTCTTAATTGCAAGTTTTTTCTGTAATGCTGAATATTGTATACTGCTGGTTTCCATGACAAGCTTTTAGTTTTGTTCTGAGCAGTGTATATTCTGGATCACTTTAGGTCTCTGTTCCAGTCTAAAGACATTAAGCTATTTGTGTCACTTAAACCATGTTTTATACACTCGATAGGTGCTTTATGGGACCCTTTGGTTACTGGTCCTCTAGCATTGAGGCACAGCTCAGTTGAAATCAGAGCAATAAAACTTCCTGGAATCCCAAATGTTACGATGTTACATTACACTTCTCATGCACAAAGCATGGACTTTGATATGAATTTCAGTATGAGGTTTTATATTCACACTTTTGGGGGAATGGTATTTTAAAATATGAGTATTGTGAGTGAATTTGTAAAAAAAAAAAAAACAAAATTCAAAATTTTAAAACGCTGTAGTTCCATGACAGACTTGTGTACTTTTTGAAATAAAACTGTTGGAGAAAACAGTAGTCTGTCTTTTATTTTAAAGCAGCACTTGTGTATGGCTTCAGCTTTCTCTTTTATGTAATTGGAAGTGAACTAATAAATATGGCTGTGTATACCCTGCTGGCATTAATCATTTTATTTATTGCTTTCCCCTCCCGCATTAATTCCTAAGAGAACTAAAACTTTAGATATTTTAAAACATACACTTACTGATATCTAAGTGTAGATATCAATAGTCATTCTGAAAACATAAGGCTTGAAAGGAACTTTAGATTCCATTTCATCCCTCTTTATTTTCAGTAGAACAAAAAAATCCTGAAACTGATTATTTTTTTTCTTTTAAAGTTCAAAAAAGCAGGTTTGCAGCACTCAAAGCATTGTTGATAAAATGCTTGGGTTTATGTTGCCAGTTAATGTGCACCTTTTTCAATTCAAAGGAAGTTGACTTGGCATACTCTGCACCCCTTGGCTTTGCAAACCAACTGATTATTTTCCTTGTCATTTTACCTGAGATTAATGTGATTTCTCCAGTCTTGTCTTGGGCACATAATTAGTTTTAGGAAGCAAAGTCCAGCATGAGCTCTGTTTGCATTAATGACATGTATAATTCTCATATCACTGGAGGTATAATTAGCTTACATTTGCTCCTAGTGTAGGCATGTTTGTGTTATAATGCATGCATATCTTCATATGTTAATGTGTACCTGTGCCATGCCAGATGTTCCAGTCCCTTCTTTCTGTGTAAATAAAACCCCTGATGCATGTGTGCACAAGCATCTGAAGTACTGGTGGGAAAACCTTTAGGAGTTTTTTCTATTTCAAATTAAGAATCATGCTTAAATACAAAGGGAAACCCTAATAAAAATGAAGGTTCGGATTTGTCTCTTTTTGTAGAGTTCTAAGAAACTTTTCCTACACTTTTTACCATCAACGCCAAGACTTAGGATGGAAGTCTTGAGCTTAAGGTGGCAGTTTTGTCACAGATGGCTCTTGCATGCCTCAGCTGCTCCAGGTATTATTTTTGAGAATAGGTGACCGTGAACCAGAAGCTGAGTACCTCCAGCTTCTCTGTGGAATTCCAACAAACCATGTCAAGCTTTCCTGAGTGTCCTGAAAGAACAGAGGGCACTCATCATGTGGTAGTTCTACAGAACCTTCGTGATCCTTGTATATATATTAAACAATGCCTTGGATAAAGTTTCTTCAAGTCTATCTGGTTGGTTGGTTGTTTCTCTGAACATCTTTGGCTGTGTCCTTTGAGCTTACTGTCTCAAAAATTTACTTGTTGGATGGAGAAACTTCATTTCTTGCAAGCTCTGTGATAATGCTGAAAGGCTGTTTTAGAAAGCAGTTCATGACAGCATCTTAGCCTTGTTTTCTGTCTGTAAAATTCATAAAACAAAAGAGTTTGTAAGACAAACAGCTGATTAAGAAGCAAAGGCAAGAGTAGGATGAAAAGAAGCTATAAATGTTGCCTACCTTTCCAAATCTCTCATTATTTTAAAACTACCTTTCACTTGTGTAGGACTGTAGGTGACTGCTCACAACATGCATCTTAATATAAAAAAAAAAGTGTGCACTTGAGTTACGATAATTCTGTTGCTCTTTTAATTTGCTTTAGGCTTTTTGCAGAATGGTGCAGGCTCAGCTTATCAGGGGAAGAGTATGAACCTTTAATTTTTTTAAAATACCCACTCTGGCAGAAAACTGGCCTAGAGGGTTGTGCCGTCCCTGCTTCTGACTTCCATTCAAAGTCAAGCTTCTGAAAACAGGGATCCTTTAAGGATCCTTTGATTTTCATATTAAGTCAGTGTTACTGTCACCCTTGTAAGTTGGCATTTTGAAGACTTCAGCTTTCAGCTGTTGAAGTACTTACTGGTCAGGTTGCTTGGAATATGGAGAGTCAGTAGCATGAAGCGGCAGCAGGTGCTGTCTGGGTCCTCATTTTTAGTGGATTAGCACAAGAAACAGATGGAGGACAATTGTACCATGTTATCTGGGAAACGAAGGAAGTTGTGCAACTCACACAGGAGCCCTCTCTGATGCCAGGGTTGATGGATGGTGGGAGGGGAGCAGCCTTACGGAGAAGTTGAGTGTGTTGGTTACACAACTGGATTATGTAACAGTTTAAAAAAGTGGCAGTATTAGAAGAGACATTAACATCTGAAAGCACATCATTTTATCTTTGCTTATCTAATTTTTTCTTGGGGGGAAAAAGCGTCCAGAGGCAGCGTTGTCCGCTGGGAAGCGCAGAAAGCTGTGTGATGCATTGACAGTTGTCCCACTTCTCAGGGCTGGATGCTGTGGCTCTGGGAGCTGCAGGCAGGACGAAAGTTGAGTGCTGTACCTGAAGGGTATTGTGTTCTCTTTCCTGAAGTATTTTTCCTAATTGCAAAATGGGGAGAGAAAAGCAGTGAGTTTTGTACCAGGGATGAGGATTCTGGAAGCACACACGAACTTTCCAACTTGTTGGAGCCTTTCCTTTACTCTGGTTTCTAGCAACATCTGATTTAGGGGTTTTCAGAGTCTGCAAAACTTTTTTGCATTTAGAGTTGCTCATATAGCCAGCATGCCTTCATTACTTAAATTGCAGAGCCTTGTACTCTTCCTACCGTGCATAATTTCTGCATATGATGCATTTGGTTATATTATTACCAACAGTACTGTATAAAGAAACAGAAGAAACTGTAGACTCCTGAACACTCCAGACTTGGTGCTCAGGGCACAAACATCTCCTGTCACTCAGGTTAGGTAGCAGCTTGCTCAGAATTTGGTATCAAGGAATACTAAATCACATGGTAAAGAGCTATAAAAGTAACTTATAGTACCATTTAAAGTACATTAAAAAAAATTTTTAGTACCATTG